TTTAATATACATACTTCTTTATTTCCATTTTATTATACTTGTTTATTTACTTTCATCAAGTTCTTATCCTTGACAATATATTGACAACTTGCCTTTCAAATTTAAGATGTTTTTTGTAAGTTGAATATATAACAGATAACTTATAGAATATTTTATATAGCTCTTTAGTTAAATTATATATATATATATATATAAGTAAGAATGAAGACTTCTTTATTCTTGTCAATGTCTTTTTTGTTCTTTTTTTTATTGAAGAATCTCTAATATCATTATATTTGGTATATCATTTCTTTTAAATTATATCATTTCTTTAAAATCATATTACAAATCATATCTTTTATAAGAAAAAAATCTCTAATTATTTTTATTTAGCAATAAAGTTATAACCTATCCTTAGCAATCTCCAACTATTCTTTATACTACCAAACTCCAAAGTTCTAATATCACATATAATTTCTTAGCACATATAATTCTAATCTACAATATTTATTTATGCTAGCTATACAACTTGGTTTTTTTGTTCATAATTCCAAGTCAATATCATGTGACAAGTATGAGCCGCTGTTTGCAACTTGATTTAATTTGTTACAACACCATGCTATTTTATAATTTCTCCCTTCCCCGCTTTGTCCGCACTACTCACTCCCGCTGCGGCCGGAGTGAGCGAGTGAGTGAATGTGATGCGACCTGACCTGACCCCGGCTCCTGACACTGAACGTTCTGGCCGAGCATTGCAGCCACCGACGCCGTCTCGTGACCGCGCATGTCCACACAACATCACCCCACTCCACTGCGAGAGACACACGAAGAAGAAGAAGAGCTCAGCTGTTGGGTCCAGCAAGCCCCCCCCCCCCCCCCCCCCCGCCCGCAGCTTGTCTCCGCTGGCAGGTAAGTAAGTACCCTTCCATCTCCTCCTCCTCTACCTGGCGATCCATGCTCCTTCTGGTTGCAGCAGCAGCAGCATCAGCAGGCTCCTAGCTCCCTCCCTCCCATCTGTGCGGGTGCATGCACCCCAGACGTGCATCCGATCATCCCTCCCTCGTGATTCCGTCTTAACTCAAAGTTGACGACGTCTATGATCCCCGCTGCTGAGCATCAGAGACAGGTTCGCCATCGCTGCAACGAAGTGGGTTGAATCTCCTCGAAGAGTCTTTCCAGTCCTTCGGAAGAGTTCCCACCCCTCTTGTTCCTATTGAGGGATATGTTACGATGTGACACAGCAAACCCAACTTGAGCTCTCTCTCAGGGACTCACGCCGTGCTCGAGCAATTCGCAATTGGGGACAAGCAGCGTGGAGGTTTCAGACAAGAGGCGCCGTCACACGTCGACGACGACAGAAAACGTAAACGAAGATAAATAATTCGTTGAACGGACGTCCTATTGTCCACGTCCAAAAGAATGGGGGATTTGGTTCTGGGTAAACAAGTTCCATCAGAACACATTTGAACTCTTTTTGACACAAAAATACATATAATTGGAAAAAATTGTAAACTAATTTTATATAAAATTAGCTTTAATTTTTTTTACTTCATATGTTAATAACAATAAATCAAAGTGTATATATATATATATATATATATATATATTTGATTTTGTGAAATTCAAAATGTGTTAATTGGTGAGATTTATACAACTTGTGTACCGTTTATTAATCTGCTTAATGTAAATAATTAGTAAAATTGAAGAAACATGTGAAAATTCTTCATATGTTAAATAATTTTGGAAATTTCAAAATAAATCAGTCCCATTTATTTTTTTAAAATATGAAAAATTCATGTAATTGAAAATATATATATATATATATATATATATATATATAATGTTAAATTATTAGTTATATGTGATGTAAAAACAATAAAATATGTAGAAATTTAATTATTTGGATTAATGTGTCATTTGAATTCAATTTTAAAAAATATTAATGTTTTCAAACTAAAATGGAATATTCTATGAATCTTCATAAACATGTACCTTTTATAGATTTAGATTTATAGTTAAATGTTACTATAATAATAACACATAAATTATAATTATTTTAATAAAAGATCTAAAAAAATTCAAATTTAAGAATTCTGAATATAAATAATTTTGTTATATAATATAAACTTAATTGTTAAAATAAAAATAATCTTCAAAGTATCAAGAAATAAAACTAAATAAATAATAACGAATTATCCCATAGGTGTCAAGATATGAAATTAAGTATATGGTATGTTACTAAAAAAAATTAATAAAATTAAATATATTTTATTACTTAATAAATAATAAATGAATCTATAGAGATAAAAAATTAGTTGTTAATTTTTATGTAATTGCAGCTTTAATGATTTGTTAGAATATGACATGTTGAGAAATATTTAGTACATTCAAATTTACTTGTTTATACAAGTTTTACAAAGTATTAAGGTTAGTTTTATATAAAAATAGTGTTTTAAAATAATTATATATATATGCATATATTAAATAAATTTTTATCTTTATACTTTATATTAAAGATAAAAATTTATATAATTATAAACTAAAAAAAATTAAATAGTAAAGACTTGCTGTAGCAACTAAAACCTTAGAGAGCTTTCAAAAAAGATCAAATATACAAAAGATGTGTTAACAAGCGTATCTTTAGGCTATCTTTGGCCTATCTTATTTTCTAATATGTTGGTTAATGTTAAAATTCATGCAGAAGTTTTCCAAGTATCACAAGACTTGCAAAAAAAAGTGTATAAAGGTATAAGATATTTCCTTAACTACTTCATAGTTTTACATCTCTTCTAAGAGAAGTTTTAATAAACTATGGTACCCTTAAAGATTCTTATTAATCTAACTTGGATCTACGAAGTGATAATAATAATATATATATATATATATATATATATATATATATGTATGTGTGTGTGTGTGTATAGATACCTAATTTTATTTACACGCATATTACAGATGTTTGTTATAATGTATCTAAGTAGCATTATAAAAGTGAATTCAATTTTCAAGATATTATATATATAATATGTATTCAAAACTATTAAAAAATTTGGACATAAAAAAAAATAGAGAAATGTACAAGAATGTTTTATTTATAATAAAATGTAAATGCCTAACTCATTTTTAAATACTTGTGATGTAAAAATATAATTGCATGTAATAAACTTTGTATTCTAGTACTCTTTTTATTATTGTATTACATATAAAATAAAAAAAACATATGTTTATTTGTAATTTCATATGAATATTTTTTTAAAATCAAAAAATATGTAAAAATATATAATATAAATTAGTAATTATAATTTAAAATATAAACATTTAAGAAAACATTTATATAATTTATTTTATGTAATAAATTAATTTTTTGTGCTCAATGTTATCTACACATATTTGTAGATTACTTTTTATATATAAAGCTCAATGATAATAACCATAATATTTTATTTTATCTTTTATTTTATTTTTTGTGATAAAAATTAATGATTATTATCTTCTAAAATTTTATCAACCAATTCAAACTTTATTAATTTATATGGTGTGTAATAACTATTGAAAATCATCATCAACTAAATTACATTGTGCTTCTATAATCAACCATTATGAATTTGTGTTATTGTAAAAAAAAGTTAGGAATCCTTAAACTACCAAAATCTTTTTTTCACATTTTATCTCCAAAACAAAGCAATGATCCTTCAAGTTTAGTTTACTTTTAACTAAAATAAAAGATGTTTGTTTGTATAAACATCATCCATCCGAATATTCATACATTGATCCATGTATCCATCTAGATTGTAGTGCTCTTTATTGCAATGAGTTGCATTAATATGTTATTTTGAAAGGAAGAGCCCCAATGCTACTACATAATAGTTTGATTTCAATTTCTTATGGTGGTATTATAGTAAAGTCAAAAAATCAAAAAATCAATTTTTATCTGATGAATTTTCATTTATAGTCAGTATAATTTCCAAATCTAACTTTCATATGTAAGGACTATTCTAAATCAAAAAATTATTTTAAATTTAATCACTATGTCCTGTAAATTTGAAGTCAAATACAACTTGTGTAAGATGTCTTTTTGTGAATTATGCATTTATCAGCTTTTCATTTTGTACAAAGTTTTTGAATCAGCAGGCGTGGATGCTATTATTTTTCATATATATATATGCATTAATCACTTAAATGTTACATGATATTGCCAGCAAGTCATTTCATTTGAAATCTAATCATGAAAAAAATCAATTAATTGATGTTTTATGTTTTATGTTTTTTCTCTTCTTTTCTTTCTTCAATATGTTTTTTAAAAATCAAATTTGTTGTAAAACATGGTCATATAGTACTTAAAAAATAAATCGGATAACATTAACAGTATGTTTTTCAAAAATAGATAATTAAAACCTACTTAGTTTTTATTTTTAGATATATATGTACTTTAAATGGATTATTAAACATTTCCAATCATTGAAAAGCCATCCAATCACAAAAAAGGTAAATTTTTCACATACATTTTACAAAACTAAAAGACCACAAATAAAATCCTAAGATTTTGGTGAGCCGAAGACAAGACATGTAAATTGGTATTTGAAGAAAAAAGAATTGAATTGACAAGTTATTTTCTTATAATAAAACTTATACAAATATAAAGGTCAATTATGTATACTAAATGTTTACTTTAAATGGAATATTGTAATAAGTATTTTACATCAATAGAAATGTGATTCTTCTTTTGAATTATTACAACCCATCTATAATCAAAACTAATTTACATTAATTTTTCCATCAAAGGCACAAGTTTTCGCCAAAATGAAACAAGATGAGCCTGTGCTCCATTCTAAGACAACAAATAAAATAGTCGATGAAATGCAGTAGCCTTTCTCTACATACAGGGCTCACTCCTTTTTAACGATTTCAATACTTTTTCGCTTCACAATGACTTTTTCTTTTTTGGGGGGTTGGTTGCTTTATTAGGATTCGTCTTCTTCGTCTTCATCGTCGTCGTCGTCGGCTTCGCGACCTCCGAGCGATAAGCCTGAAGCTGTTTTTAGCAGACGAGAAATTAGAGCGCAGTCGAATTGCGAGTGTGTTTGTACGAAGACTGGGCGTTGTGACTGCGATTGAGCGGCACGGAATGGAATGGGACGGAACGGAGTGAGATGCGCAGAAGCATTAAGCCAGCAAAAGCCAGATCCGAAGCCTAAAACGGAGCAAAAGGGGTGTGATGAAAGACGGCACACCGTGGCCCCTCGGTTGCAACGCAGGGTTCGCAAAATTGGAGTCTGCTGCATCCCAAGGGCGACGCGCAGTCACGGATTTTGCAAATGGGATCAGGCGAAGTGCAAAGGCGGCACACAAAAAGGAAGAATCCAGCATGGACAACGGAAATATTTGGTGGCGTCTCAGGAATGGAAGGGGGGGAGGCAGAGTTATGGCCAGCTTCGCGATTTCTGCTGAAGGACAAAATCTAATCGCCATTCCTGCTGATACCCAAACCTCAGAAACAGCTCAGAAAAAGGGGGTTGCGGCTAGTGGGCTGGTTTGGTTGAAGGTTTTTGGAGATTCCCCAGGGTGGAATTTAGAAGCTGCGGAGATGGATGAGAAGCAGAGAGGGGGCGTGCTTCGACGGGATGGGACAAACAATCTGGTGGTCATGCCGATTTTTGGAAACGGGATGCAGGGTGAACTTAATTAATGGCCGCGTGTTGCGCCTCGTTTCCATCCGCCGATCTTAGCAGTGGACCAACCAACGCGTGCGTCCCTCTGTCTCGTTGACGACCAAACGTAGTGTCCCCAAGCGCCACATTGCCCTCCTCTGCAACTGGATATCCATCAAGAGGATCTGGCAACTTGGACGGGAATTGGATCGGTGTCTGCTTGTTTATCGCGTCCCCTCCGGACCCCCCCTACTTCCGCGGCACAGGATTGCAGTCAACTTTGAGCAGTTTTCATTCAAGGTGGGGCTGTGCGCGGTCGTCCGGATTCGACTCATTTCTGTTACGCTCCGAAAGGTGCAAATCAACCACGGATCAGGAGAATTGTTCGATTCCGTAGTCAAGCGTCTAATGAACATGGAGTGATTGTGATGCGAAGTGGGAACCAGCTCGAAAGTTAATGAATCGAGAAGTGCAGGAGGCTAGGCGCGTCTAGCTGCTGGAGATCGGAACTCACTCGGCCTCCAAGGTAACTGATCACATGATTCCGCTGCGTTAGAGTGCCAGTAGTAATGCGTTGTGTGTCTACGTGTAAATGTCCACATGCTCTCGTCTCGTAATTGCTCACCTTGTCTGTAATGGAAGGGAGCTGTGACCAGCCGTCTTCCATTTAAGTGGGTGAGACGAGAAGCGTGTCTGTGCGAGAGAGAACTGTACTGTGTTCGTCCTGGCAAGAACATTATGAGCAGAGACTCCGTGCAGGAAAAGCAGGGGTGGAATCAATCCAGCACCCTGAGCCTGGACTTAATTTGCATAAGTGTCAATATGGGTCAAAGTAGCTCAATAACAGTGTACCATGTTTTGTTTTTTGTTGTTTGTTGTTTTTGTTTTTTTGTTTTTTTGTTTTTTTTTTTGTCCTTTATTTTATTTTTTGTGTTTAGTTTGATGTCTGTCTCAAATCGAGCAGGCATTGTGCACTCGAGAAGCCATTTCCCTCGCAACTCCTTTGAGTAATTGCGCAGCGCTTGTCGTACAGCGCACACACTCATGTACGAAGAAAACTGTCATCATTTAGTCCTGCCGTCCCATCACCTCTTCGAAGCAGATGATTCTATTCCTGCCTCTGACTAGTCAGCATTTCACCTCTTTTTTTTCAGTTGCCAGCCCCCCACAGGTCCGCAGCAACATTTTCTCACCTTTAGATTGTTCCCCATCACTATAGTTACTGTCGCGGAAACATTGTAACCTTTGTCAGTGAAACTTCAATACTTGCGCCTCAGGCCTTGGCGGACGCGTCGACGTCGGTACCAGACACGCCTGGCATGCTAACGTCGACAGCCTGATCGCTGTTGCCATTACCTCGTTCCTTAGATTGCACTGATCGCACTCCTTGTAAGGTCGGAACTACTGCTTTGACAGGCGCCCTCCATCTCCCTCGCGCCCTTCGATTGCCCTGTGTCGAGCAGTGTTCCACAACTGCAGGTGCACTGATTGCGGTGCTTGATTCGATCTGCATTGCCCTTTCCTGGGGATTATGTTACCAACGGTGGGTGGAAGGTTTTTACGCAGTCCAGATTCCAGCCAGTCATCGTTTGAGATCAAGTCTTTGCAAAGTACTTGGGCTACACTCTTTTAGCTGCACTTGTTTTGAGCCACTGGAATTGCTCCAGTCTGTAACACTTCACCTCGCTTTCACTTTCTCAATCACATGGATATTTAGTTGCATTGCGCAACTGCGCGAATGCCTGCTCTTAAAATTAAAGGAAACCTTTGATATCAAGAGTGCAAAGTGTGGTTCTAGGTTCTGTAAGGCATACGCATCCTTCCGAGTGAAGTGCAGCGTCTTTGATCGACCCCAGAAGTTAGGGAAGGAACCTTGTGCAGCTGGTCCTCTTTTGGGCATGTACGCCATGGACAAGCTCCGGGCTGCAATGAGCTATCCTCACGATCTTGGACGCACCACGGATCTCACGAAAGAAGGTTTAGCTCTACAGGAAGGGAGTACTCAGCACTCTCTGCAACAATTGTCTCATGATCCCAGCTTCGCCGAACGCGCAGCCAAGTACTCCACATTCGGCGCCTCGAACTTTCCCCAAGCGCCCATATACTCATCAGTATTCGTCACTGGAGAATTGCGCAGCGTGTTGGAGAAGGAGAGCAAGATCTCTCGAAGCGCCAACATTTCAACCGCACTTGGCGCCCTGAGCAACGGAGATGCTCAGCCTCTACCCGAGGCAAACTTCAGGGACGCTGGTGATGGTGGCGCCAATGTTGCCCTGTCCTCGGAGGAAACGAAACTGAAATTCCACCGAAATCAGCTCAATTCTGGAGTCGGAGGCATTGAGGGAGCCAAAGCGTCCACCAACCAGTCAAACGAGGGAATAATCTTCCAAGAGAATTCTGTCTGCTCACAGCAAGCTCCCACATTAGCAACGGCTCACCGAAAGCGCAAAGGCAACTCATCAGCGGAGGGGAAAGACAAGTCCTCAGAGGGTAGTAAGCTTATGGAAGCATCCACCGACAACTCCGCACCACTAAAACGACACAAGTCCGATGGTGAGGATGTGAGGGCCGTAAAGGCAGAGCAAGCTAGTGCAAGTGAGAATTCTGGAGACTCGATTAGCCCTCGGTCGACGTTGAAAGGCGCCACATCCAAGCGTCCCCAAGACTTCCCCAAGCAAGACTACATCCATGTGCGCGCCCGGCGAGGCCAAGCCACTGACAGCCACAGCCTCGCCGAAAGGGTTTTGTTTCGCACGCCCTTCAAATGTTCACGCATATTTCCTTTCTATTGCCGCTTTCTGTTGCTGTGGATTTCGGAGTTTCTTCACCCACTTTTTGTAATTGCCATCTGCAACAGGTTCGCCGGGAAAAGATAAGCGAGCGCATGAAATTTTTGCAGGATCTTGTTCCTGGATGCAGCAAGGTACAAAACAGCTTTAGATAGATTCGCTCCGATCTACAGCAGTGTACCCAAAATCCCTTACCCTCCAAAGTGTACTTCAATGGATTTTGTTCTCTAGTTCTTCTTTTGACTTCATTCGTGTGATGGTTTCGATCAATAGGTGACAGGGAAGGCCGTCATGTTGGACGAGATTATCAACTACGTGCAATCCCTCCAGCGCCAGGTCGAGTTTTTGTCCATGAAGCTGGCTACTGTAAACGTTCCTCGCCTCGATTACAGCTACGACCTCCTCAGCAAAGAAATGCCGATGCAGTCACGGTCTCCTGAGACTACTTTGTTAGGCCCCGACCCGCTTGCGGCACCATTCGGAGATCACTCGCAATGCTCCCCAATGCAGAGCATTTCCACTCCCAGTTGCCATTTTGAGGCTCTGTACTTGCGACGGTCAATGAGTGTTCCAACAATGATGTCGAGGTTTGATTCCGCTGGTCATTTCAGTGATCTTTTCTCCCAGGTATGAAGAAGAAACATCCACCTTGTTGGTTTCAATGGGGAACTAATTGTGAATCTTGGTGAGGGATTCAGTAGATTGTATTCTTCCATTTTATGAGCAACAAGAATTTGAATGCGTATTTGGTTGGTGCATTGTTGTGACAGGGTGGGAGTAGGTTATGTGACGGGGATTTACAAAGTGTGGTGAAGATGGGATTTACTCAAGGAAGACATGGTGAACTGGATTCGAGATCGCAATTCAGCAATGGTAATCTCCTCTTTCATCACAACCTCGATCATGTTGCAACTTCTTCCATTTGAGTTGTGAGTACACTTGAAGCAGTGAGAACACTCTTAGCATTACATGTATAAAACAAGGCGAGGGAATATCGGGAAATCGCTCTGGATTTGCAGTTGCATGTGGGTGAAATCAATTGTTCGAGGTCTAACATAGTAATCGCGTTAACTATTGCAGGTTAAATTTGTTCTCGGCAGGCAAATTGAAGGTGGAGCTGTAGTTAATTACTGAGGTTGGGAATTCTGTTGTGACATTCATCAAGTGACAAGACGTGGTGAATGCCAATGAATTATGAACTCTAAAATTTTCTTTCTGCACCGATTGTATAATACTCTCGAAAGCCCCAAGAGGAAATTTTTCTAACATCGATGACTACATTTACCACGGGGACTACGTTGTTCTCGAAAGAATGAGTTGCTGCGACGTTCCCTGCACGGCTCGGAGTGCGAGGATCAATACAGTGGAAAGATGTCAAAACTACATGGAATCTCTAAGTTGTGGAGTATATCATCGCCTGCTTATTCAATGTAGCGACGACACTAACCAGTAGAGGAAAATTAACATCAATCGTAGGAACTAGCTATTCTTTGACTCACTGCATGTTAAAAGATGAGTCATTTAGACCTTTGTAGGAGCAGCATATAATTTTTGGACCCTGATTATGCTGTTACCGCGCTTATATTTTACATTCCACATAAGTTGAGAGTGCCGCGCAGACTGCTCAGATAATAACGTGTGGCAGGCCCTCTTCTTATACTATTATGCATCCATACTTCATTCAATAAGACTTCTTTCGATGAGTTAGCTTCCTAGCATTCCAAATTACCTCTTGAAACTACTAGATGAAGCTTTTCATTGTTGCTCGCCTGGAGATATCTTCATGGAAGAAATGCTTGTCTATTTGCATTGTATTAGTGGGACATTTTTACTGCAAATTTTAGTTATCTTAAACTTGCTTACTTTGGTAGTACAATGTGTCAGCGTAGAAACACATCCAACTAACAATGTAAGTCTCTTGCTTGTAAACTTACGTTGTCAAACTGTCATTGCCTAGGAATTCATGGTTGACAGATGGATGGCTTCTTACTGACCTAAGTCTCCTAATCCGCTGTTTGTGTGGTAGGCAAATCTATCAGAACCTAAAGCATACACGTGCACCGAATGCAAATTGAGTTCCCATAAAGCAACGTCCGTTCCACCAGCATAACCAGAATTCAAGAATTAACAGTGACAGTTATCAGAATGGCACTTGAACACAAAGCTGCAATGCGCTTCTTAATCAGCAGATATCAAATCAATAAAAGCACATTCTGAAAGTAAAAACTTCCAGTATCCTATCCATGCTAACACATCACCATGATCCAATTCGAAGTTAATGCTTCGGAAAAGACATAAGCATATTGCGCGTTAACCCAAATAACTTAACCCTTCCCATTCCTTCTGAGCAGGATTCTACTGCGATAGGTCAGTTGCCAGAACCGCTAGTGGAGAACTTGTAGCCACCATAAAAAATAAATAAATAATAAAAAAAAAAACAACAACAACAACAGCTCCCCATCCTGCTAGTGAGGCAAACACAAACTGTAAGTCGCTACACATCGTTGATGATTACAGCAGTTGCAATGTATGTTCACAATAAGTGAAAGCAGATCCTGGATCTTCGTAGACTTACGTTTTAAAATGAATGAATGCTTTAAATTCAAGCATAGTGGGGTGGGTTCAAGAACACAATTGCATGTACTCACTCCATAGAGCATTGGAGCTCTAGATTCGAAGAGTTGAAGCGGATCATGAACGCTATTTTGCAAAACTGGCGAACACTTTCCTGTACAAAAACACCACGTGATAGTCACTGAGATATGCTTGAGCGATGAATTTCATATGCAACAGAAAAAAGAAAAAAAGAAAAGATATCCTTTTCGGAATCAGAGAGAAGCAATACAGTTCACAATGAACAGTTTTTATATTTCTAACATTTAATTTTCTTTTTAATGTTGATGGTGTGAAAGGGCATATCTACTTTAGTTTCAAAAAGAAAAAGATTAGGATCATGAATTGCAAAGTTACGCTTAGAAACTTACGTGCTCTTCCTTCCATTTGGACGGGCTCGATGGGTTGCTTCACATTGGCACGTCACCCGTTCTATGAGCATCAACTATTCAAAAACATGAGATGCGACGAGTCATGCGGAGCAAATGAAGGGATGTGGAGCTTTATAACACCCCTTGACATAGAGCGAATAATCACGACTAATTAGAGACATAATTAATGCGGTTGTACAGGTGTTAGAAAACACCATCGTGCCACCCTTCATACAGAAATCATAACTCCCAAACTATTAAGAACTCAATTTTGGCATGAGACGAGACCAGGTAACTGCATACTGATCATTGAATTCTCGTAGAATTTAGTGGATTAAGAAATTCGAACTTCACTTGCAAAGTTACCTGTCTGAGTCAGCTGGGTTGGGGCATTGCGAAGCAGACGGCTAGATGCACCCAGCTTTTGCAACACGCCATTGTTATTTAATCTGATTATTCTTAAGGTACTTGTTGATTACCACTTGAAGCCGTCCAAAGCTTAACACATCAACATGAGATGCATACCAACTGCTGGATGCTAAGCTTGACAGTTACTAGAAACATAAATACAAGTCCAAAGAAACGAAAAATAAACAAATAAATAAAATCTAATGGCACTGACATACATGACTACACTACGTGAAAAAAGTGTGATCATGCAGATCTCTGGGAAATGAGAAGCTTATTTAGACACTCTTGTAGAGGACTGGGGTTGGGGCACTCCGAACCAGACGGCTGGAGGCGACCTTGAAGATGAATTTCTCTACAAGAATATGCAACATCATACCAATGCCCTAATGTGAAGAAAAACACCCCGCACGTCAAAAAACGGAGAGAAGTCTAGACCTCGCAAGAGAAACTCTGCTCACTGAGAAGGAGCACTAAATCAGGATCAAGCATCTTCATATCACAACCACACCTAGTTCCTTGCTAACAAAACCATCGACAACTTCATGTGGGTCCGAGCTGAGCAACGGCAACATCCAACATGTCTGCATCAACTCTCGACCCAAACGCGAGCTCACTGTAGCTTCAGAACCCCAGAAAAGCATACTCTTTGATCATCCAAAAAGTGGGCGAAAGCAATAAAAAAAACAAAACCACCCATATACCAAAAACTCCACAGCTAGCCAGTAGCAGAGGTAGCAACTGATCTTGTCATGCACAAAACATGGACTCAGCTAACTTACACAAGCTTAACATGGCGAAAATGCACCCAATATTGTAACGTGGTAGCAATTTAGTTGGCAAAAGGCAATCAACCGCAACATGCACCAAGAGGTCGCCTTTCCCAACTCTTCCACCCACTGTTTTTAATATCAAAAATGTGGGTGACTTCTTATCATTCCTATAGTTTGCCATTTTTCTTTCTTGTGGATCAATGAATGAGGAGTCTCTTATTTAATTGCATACATTTGGAATTAAGTGGCTTTGTCTTTGGAGTTGTTGTTGGCACCCAACTACTTCTGAGCACTTGACATGGTGGGTTTAAATCTCATGATTTGAAATGGCTCTTAATACTTTGGATATATATATATATATATATATATATATAAGAGTGAAAGCTTTTTAAAGTTGATTTAACTTCATCCACTTCCTAGAATTAATATTATCATTTATTTTCTTTTTTTGTTAATTTTCTTTTTTCTTTTTTCTTTTCTTTTTATTAATTCTTTCAACAACTTAAAATATTGTTACTTTTTGTCTTATCTGTAGTTGCTTCCATGAGATTTTAGGTAATATTATACTAATTGATCTTAGATAAAATATAATCCTACTTAAGTGCTTCATTCCAACTTAAAATAAAATTTAAAAGCCATTTAGTTATCATTTTTTATAGATTATAATACTAAATTAAAGAACTTAGAAATGCTACTAGATATTTATGTCAATTTTTTTCTATTATATTATTGACCACCCACAAATTTTTCTATATTTTCAATATGGCATTTCAATTATCTAATTTATGACCTTTTTTTTTAGATCATTCTATATTAATTTTCCATCTTCTAATAAGTTATATATATATATATATATATATATATATTTAAATCTTGCTTTGTGAGTTGTCTCAAACCATTTTTTTAAAAAATAAAAATATTGTGTTGAATCCAAATTGTGAAAATATAAATTTTCAAAAAAAAATGCCATATTGTACCAAATCTGTTAAACTTGGGTAGTATCTTGCATGTAAATATATCTTGTTCCTATGTAAAAGGTCCATAGAGTCTTGGGCTTAGTATTGGTTTATATAATGGTGGTATAGTCTAGTCCTAAATTTGTTTTGTTTGGAAATCTTTCGAAGACCTATATTTAGTTGATTCTGTGTATTTGAGGCATTAACAAAGTAACAAGTAGGAAATGTGCTTGAAATGGTTTTTGCTCTCTAAACATTTATTGCAATTCTTTGGTGCCAAATTAGGCACATGAGCATTGCTTCTTTTCCACCTCTTGATTTAAACTCTGCATCCTTCTAATTAAACAAGAAGTCTTGTAATAAAACATTGTTCTATTTTAAATCCTTCAAATTCCACTTAATTTTTCAGACTAAAGAAAATTTTAAAAAAATAATCATTGCAAAATAAAAATAAATAAATAAAAAGATCTAAAGTCCTAAATTATTGCAACAAATCAAAGCAAAGTTTAACTATAGATTTTTTATTTTTTTATTCTTTTTAAGTGGTTCTTTTAGAGAGCTAAGCTTTACTTGAGATTTTGAGACCACCTCAAAAATATTTACATAGCCTTCAATTGATTAGGTTGTATATAGATCACCAACATGAGTTATCCTTGCTAAAACTTTTGTAAGCAATGAATCATAATGAAGTACATCAGAAAATTTTCTAATTTATTTATTTATTTTTTAATTTTATAGAGTTGGAAGAGAGTATGTCAGTCATTTTCATTGTTACCTTTATGAAAGCTTTGGAATTTAAAATTCAATTGAATCAGTATGATACTTTGAAAATTTCTTTTTTATTATTAATTCTTTTTTAATACCTTACTATGCTTATCAAAGAGACTTCTAATTATCACATATGGTGTCAGTTTTTTTTAGCTTTTTAATAGTTTGTCTCCATTTTAGGACCAAATTAATGACTTCTTTTTAAATAGTTTGTCATACATATCCTACTCTAGAGGTGTTGGATGTCTTAAGCCATAAAATTATTCTTTCTTACTTATGAAACATTTTTCTTTTGTTGCAATTCTATAATTCAATTATCAATCATTTAATCAGAAACTTAAAGTAAATCACCTCTATGAATATATATTTATTGTAACTCTTGTTTTATGATCATTCTTTTTCCATATATAACACTTATTTTTTCTATTTTTTTATAATGCATTCTTTTATTATATGGTTTTTGAATTTCGAATTTTATAAAAGAATATTTTATCTTTTATAAAATTCTTTAAGATTAAGACAAGAAATATAAGACGTCATGTTGACTTTTGTAGAATATCTAAGATATCACATTTTTATTCAGAATCCCTTTTATGTCATAAATAAATTTTACATCTATTTAGCAATTTTTTTTACAAATAGCATAAATTTAATTTAGATTAATTTTATTTTTATATAAGAAATTTATCACCTTGTTTATATCCCACAACAATTTTAAGTATTTTTTCTGGTATTTATATTCAAGTTAGACACTTTGAAAACATGTCTTAGTTGTTTCAAGGATAAGTTCTTTTTTAGTAATTTATTTTGTCTCTTTGAAAAAGAAGAATTTCAATCTGGATTGTATTTTAATTTAGATTAGCCATTGGAAGCTAGCTAATATAATTTTTATAATTGTCTATTACATAGTGTCTTACACACTGATTATGAATACTATTTATTCTTTTAGTTTAACCAATACTATCATAATTTCAAGCCATAGTAAATATAACCTTTATTTTTAAATATTTTATATATATATATATATATATATATATATATATGCAGCCAAAATATTGTATAAAATTTTAGATCCTGAAGACTTATTATTTTTTTAGGATAATTCATAAAGAATGACTTGTTTTTAACAAGAAGTAGTATTGTAGTTATCTTTGTTGTAGTTTGAGTTATTATTGGAATAAATCTTGATGTTTTGTTGATACTTTAATTACAACTATAATTGCATCATAACCTCCATAGTTTGATAATCTTATCTAAACTTCTAAAAATAATACATCTAAATGGTACTTTTGATATTACAACAATCATGACTTAGGTTGGTAGGTATGGTAATTTACTTAGTGTACCACATATCTTTAGATTGATTTCAAAGTTTTAATTCATACTTAGTTAATAGTATAATTATACCAAATCATTTATAATTTTCTTAACTCATCTATAGCTTGAAATAGATATATTATAACACTCAAATGCCATCTTTTTTTATACTTTCTTTTTGGAATGCAGATTCTTGTTTAATTGGAGGAAGAAATTATATTATATTATATTATTTATTTATTTATTGTTTTTTTTGTTTCTTTTTCTAATAATAATTTTATTCTCTATTTCATATATCATATTTATAATAATAAATATAATAAAAAGAATATAGTGACTTATTACTCAAGCTGAAATAATCATTTTAAAACAAACTTTTAAATAAGTTGGTGGCCTAAACTATTATATTATTTTGATGATATTTGTTTCTTCGAATTTCTATAAAAAATTTAGAAGAAATTTTACAATATTTAATTTTTTTAGAAATACCTCAAAATAAAAATCAATTTATTATCTTATATATTAGAAACAGATTTTAAATCTTTCAAAAATAATAAATCAATAAAACGTTGCAACTTAAATTTCTTTTTTGTTTAAGTAGTCTATAATTTTTATTTACAATTTTAATGTAAGGTGAACTTTATTATCATAGAATAAAAAGAATGAAAAGTATTTCATGTTAATATATTTACCATTTATAATTTTAATTAATAATTTTTAATCCATATGCTAACTTTGACTTTTTAAATTTATAGTATTTTTAAAAGTGTAACATCATTTTTTGAAATTCTAAAGAAACATGATAAAATCTTTGATAAATTTTAAAAGAATAAAAACTTATTGATATACTAAAGATAAAAAATATAATTTTTTCTTACGAATTTCATTAGTATTAATATAGATAATATATCTAGCTTTCAATGGTATTATTTCTACCAAGATTGATTATTTTCATAATTATAGAAAAGAAGACATGTTTTTGTGTTAACTGATAATAATCTAAACCTTTTTTATTCTAAGATTTTGATATATTAAAAACATCTTATGTATTTCTATAGAAAAAATTAATTATGTTTTTATGGTTGCAAACATATTTTTTGTTATTATTATTTTGGATCTTATATTAACTGACAGTTGATTTTTTTTGACAGAGACACATCTTATTTCAAATAATGACTATAATCAATATTTGTGTAAAAGACAATTATTATCGACTGAAAAATAATCCACATCTTGAAATTTGTAAATCCATTAATTTTTTTTAAAATGCATAAAATTAATTATTATCAAAATAAAAATAAAAAAATGCATATACATATATATATATATATATATATACACACACACAATATAATCAATCTTTTATTGATTATAAGATATTCATTTTTCTTTTGATGTAAAATACATATATGAGTGTAATATATTAATCAAACCTTTTTGTATTTTTGATATGTTTGATATCAAAAATTTAAGCAATTGATAAAATGTTCAAGCTTTAGGACAATTTGAAGTTTGTGGTAACATAAAATATCTAAGATTTATATAGTGTAAATGAACAACTCATTCATATAAAACATCATAATAATATTATTTTTAATTATAAAAATTTAATTACAAAGTAATATCATGAATTTTGTATAATTGATTTAAAAAGTATAGATAATAAAAATTTGAAATGCAATAAACTATAGTTGTGTTTAATTTTTAAATTAAATTATTATAATAAATTTAGGCATCATTCTTTATAAAAGACTAGGTATTAATGAGATATAATATGTATAGATGCACCTAGATCTTGGTTTATTTTAGAAGAAAGTTGTGCATGCCTGTAAATTCTTGGTATATGATTGTAAACAAATTTATACCTCTTGAAATGAACTTAAAATTAGAGTTAAAGAAAATAAAACTACTATTATTTTAATTTTTATAAATACTTATCTTGCATTATACTAATTTTTTATGATATTTTAATTCAAATATCTTGACATAATCTTATAATACCTTCCATAATTTAAGTTATAGTAACTCTATCAAATATTAAATAAATTATTCTCTATGATTTATTTCTATTTTTATTTTAAAACAAATCTACATGTAATATTATATTTTTTATATGAACTATTTAAAATTTTAAGTCTTATTATGTTTAAAATAGAATAAAAATAGAATGTAAATAGCTCAATATACTCAATTATACTCAAATATGTATTGTGAGACATCCTATGATTAAAAGTTGATACACAATTTCAATTGCTATAAGAAAATATATCTAATAATTTATCTATAAATATTTATCACTAAACACAAAAAAAATCATATTATCACACAATATTTAAGTTACATAACCAAAATTAGTATTATACCAATTTATCATTTTTTTACAAAAAATAATAATCAAATAATAAAAAAATTCTTTCAATAATAAAACTCTATACCTTTTATTTAATGTAAGGGGATGTTAATGATTATAAAATAAGGCTAGAGGTTGTAATTTTAAAGCTTGTAATTGGTTGGAATTAAGAGATCTTTTTTTTGTTGAGTTTATGCTTAAGAAAATTAACCAAGAGGTCATAAGAAGAAAAATTGAAGTGAATTATATTTTGTCCATGGCATAAACAATAGCATAAATAGCATAAACAATGTTGTCATTCAGAATTTATATTAAGTCCACCTCAAAATAAATTATGCAATCATGGTAGAAATGGCTAGTTATATCCATAATTTTTCTTTTATAATTTTATAAAAATAAATCATTTGACACAATTATTAAAATCAAGATATGAGCTGCTATGAGTATAAAACAATAGTGACTATAAATAATTCGGTAAATGTCATGACCCTTCTCACTACAAACTATTTCTAAAATCAAGGCTTTGCAATAAATAAGTATATATATATATATATATATATATATAAAATACTAATCAAGAAATTTTCACAAAGCTTTTGACCACGGCCTTTCAAAGTGGACTTCAGAATGAAAAGACCTTCAAAGCTTGTTTCATGTACATTCCACAAAAGTAGTCTATACCATGAGCAAATTTGTGAAAACAGAACATTTATTCACACACCAGAACAAGTGACGTTACATATTGAAAAAATGAATGTATACACCAGGTTAGAATGCATCTTTCGTGACATAGAAACCACAAAAGAACCGACAAATTGAGAACCAAAAAGCAGCGTCAATGGAAAGCGGTGAAGCAAAGCCTAACGAGACGTGGAATGGAAAAATTCAGGCTCCTCCCCTACAACAAAAAAACGTGGTTGTTTGTTTGCGTGTTTGCTGGGCTGGACTTTGTTTTGCAATGGCAGTGCTGGTGGTGTTGCCCCTTTTGCAGCTGCAGTGTGGCGGAGATGGTGCGATGTTCGGACAGTGAGGATTGAAGGTTGCCGTGCACGGGTCTCTCTCTCTCTGCTTTGATTGATTCATTCCTCTTCCCGGTAACACTTCCACTCTGCCCTTCCCATTCTACGTTTCGAGTTTTGGGGTTTTGGGTTTCGGTATTTGGGTTGTGTTGTCTGCCACATCTTTTGCGTGGATTTCATCACCTTGTCCGTGAGTTTGGAGAGTTGGGTTATTTAGCATTTTCCCGTTTTGGTACTACCTGGCGATTTGCCGCAGCCGTGGTATTGTAGTTGAAGACCTGTGATAGGAACTATGTGAATTGTTTGCTTTGTGTTGTCGATTTAGGGTTTTGTGGGTCGTATTGTGTGTTTTGTTGGGGTTGCTGTAGCGCGGGTTCAGAGTTGAAAGGGGGCTGGTGGGTAAAAGACAGGGTTGTTTGGTGTGCATTTTGGTGTAGTTTTGTTGCTGTTGTTCTAGTCGAAGATATGGGGCATCGGAATGATAAGAAGAAGAGGAAGGAAAGGAGTCGTCATGGACGGAAACGACGAGACTCTGAGTCGGAAGAGAGTGGCTCTGGGAGTGATGAGTCGGATAGAAGTGATTCACCTAAGTTCACGGAAGAGGAGCTTCGTGAATATTTGGCTAAGAAAGCTCAGAAGAAGGCTCTGAAAGTTGCGAAAAGGTTGAAGACTTCGAGCGTCTCAGGGTATTCGAACGATAGCAACCCGTTTGGAGATTCTAACCTTACGGAAAGGTTTGTATGGAGGAAGAAGATAGAGCGGGACTTGACGCAAGGTTTGACGCCTTCTGAGATGAGTTTGAAATCGGAGAAGAAGAGACAGAGGGACAGGATGGCAGAGATTGAGAAGGTGAAGAAGCGAAGAGAGGAACGAGCTATTGAGAAAGCGCAGCATGAGGAGGAGATGGCATTGCTTGCACGAGAGAGGGCAAGAGCTGAGTATCAGGATTGGCAGAAAAAGGAGGAGGAATTCCATTTTGAACAGAGTAAAGTGCGGTCCGATATTCGTCTACGGGAGGGCCGAGCTAAACCTATTGACATACTGTCCAAAAACCTGAATCTCTCTGAGGATTTTGATGTCGACGTTAGTGAGCCGTATAAGATTTACAGGGGTTTGACAGTGAAGGAGATGGAAGAGCTGCGTCAAGATATCAAGATGCACCTGGAGTTGGACCGGGCTACCAATACTCACATTGAATTCTGGGAGTCCATGATGGTTGTTTGCGACTGGGAAATTGCACAAACTCGGAAACGAGATGCGCTTGACAGGGCCAGGCTTCGTGGAGAAGAACCTCCGCATGAACTTCTTGCAGAAGACTTAGGTCTTCACGGAGTGGATGACGAAGTAGATGATATGTTGAAGGGCCTGAGTGTCAAAGAACTGAACGATTTACAAGAGAAAACGGAGTCCAAGATGCAGACAGGTACTGCGCAGGTGGTCGAGTACTGGGAAGCAGTTCTCAAGCGCCTTCATATTTACAAGGCCAAGGCTCGCTTGAGAGAAATACATCAAGAACTACTGCGAAAGCACTTAAAGCGTATTAAATACGTTGATGAGACTCGACTTCCCAGTCTCGACCGTGATGAAATCGAGATTGAGGAGGAAAAACCTACCAGTGACTGGGAACCAGAGGTGCTTGCACCCTCATCAGAACCAGTGCATGATCCGCAGACGGAAGACGAAGAAGACGCTGGAAACTATTCTCCAGAGCCTGTGAACGAAGTTGATGGAGCTGAGATATTGGACCCTGAAGCAGACAAAGCTGAATTGGAGAGGAAAAGGGCCGAGGTTTTGGACGAGCAGCAACGTAGGTTACAGGAGGCAGCTGCTAGGCCCGCTGCTGCTGAAGAGGATCCTCTTGAGCTTACACCTCTCGAGCGTGCTTCTGTGATGAAATCCATGGGAGGCATGGAGGACGGTGACACCATGCTTGGTCCAGGTTCCGAAGTTAGCCTTGAGTCTCAAGTTTACTGGTGGCATGATAAATACAGGCCTCGCAAGCCTAAGTATTTCAATAGGGTGCACACAGGGTATGAGTGGAACAAGTACAATCAGACTCACTACGACCACGACAACCCTCCCCCAAAGATTGTGCAAGGGTATAAGTTCAACATTTTTTATCCCGATCTCGTGGACAAAACCAAGGCACCGACCTACTTCATCGAGAGAGATGGCAGCAATGGGGAAACTTGTCTTATTCGCTTTCATGCTGGCCCTCCTTACGAGGACATTGCCTTCCGGATTGTTAATAAAGAGTGGGAATACTCTCACAAGAAGGGATTTAAGTGCACGTTTGAGCGGGGAATCCTGCACGTGTATTTCAACTTCAAGAGATACAGGTACCGGCGGTAGAGGGATGTTGAAATAGAGGACAGCGTTTTTCTTCAGTCTGTTGCATGAACCAAACAGCTCTTCCCATGGCAGATGCTGAGATGAACTTACAGCCGGTGGTGAGTAAGGTAGACATCAGATTATAGGGAGTTAAACTTTTAGTAACTGGGGCTTAAATACATCGACAAGATTCTTGGTTAGGTTAAATAGTTCTGTAAGACTGTTGGACGTGTACGAAGTTTTCACCAAATTCTGACTTCATTCCATGATCTTGATTTATTCCTCTTCTAATATTGTTGTTTCGTGAATACTTGTTCTTGTCAAACTGGGTTTTATGTCACCATGTATTTTTAACAATCAATGGTTGATCGTCTATGCCTTCAACTGTCTTGGGTTTCTACAACTTCCTCACCCTTTATCGTTACAGATATTATACTCTCTTCCAGGTGATAGTTAATCCGTGTAGTAGTATATTATGGTAGAGCACTTCCCTCCCTCCTGGAAATAAGTGGTATGTTGTGGAGTTGCATTTGTTATGTACACTGGCCTTGCTAGTTGTGTTGTAAAGTCGTAATTTGGAACACAAATTACATCCAATGTCGTGGTCAGGTTATCATTGGAAGGATGCTAGTTCATGATTGACCACCTTTGGATTGCAAGGTATCATTCTTTTGATGCATGTGATAATTCTGGAGCGTCCCCTTGTAAAGCATACTCTTGTTCTCCTTTACTTTGGTTAGGCTGGGTGGAGGAACCGCATATTCGTGAAGGGCTCTTCTTCGTTCCTTCTGGCCCAGTGGGTGAGTATCCTAATTCAGTAGATTGTATCATGTAAAGACGTGTGCACAAATTTAATCCTCGCTACTTGTTCGATTCCCCCTAGCTAAAATGTTGGGCGACGTTTGAGTCTTGGAACTGAGGCAACTTGGTTGTATTCTCTTCATTGGTTGACGGCTTTTTGAAAGATGTCTTCCCTGTTGGTGGCGGGAGGTTGAACTTTGTTCTGGACAAGATAGGCTGCAAACAATAATATCTAGTTTCAGTTTTCAATGAGCAACTGGCCATCCGTTGCTACCGTGTGGCCCCACCGAAGCCTGGTGGCCATCAACCTTTGGAGGAGCTTCATAGATTTGAATTCCAATGCTCTGGCTGAATTCTCAAGCAGTTCGTCCATACTTGCCTCTCGCGTTGTGACTAAGCTGCTCTCTAGGGTCTTCTCCGCCGATACCTTCTGATGGCAGGATTCTCTGAGTTGGGACGTTACATGCTCCAGCCGTGCGGATGACTCGAGCAAACTGCCATGCAGCAATGATGTTTGATATTCCATGTCATCTTTCTCCATGCGTGCGCGCGTCTGCTCCTGTGTCAGCTGCTGGGCAATGACAGCTCGGTCTCTTTCTGCTGTCTCGAGCATCTTGAGGCGCTCCCTCGATTCCAATTCCGTGTTTGCAAGTTTTTCTTCTATTTCATGTTGCGTTTGAATCTGCTTCCGCAACTCTTCTCTTAGTGACACAATGATGTGATCGTTGTGTTGTTCATCACTGTTTTTTATTATACTGTTTGTCTCTGTTTTGCAGACTGCACAATGATGGTGCTCTTTCTCCACAATGCGGTGACAATGAGGCGTTTCACACATGCTAGTCGTGAAGCTCTTCGTTCGTCGGAGCTTCTCACGAAGACCGTTCACCTTTGTTTGCTTGTGATTGAACTCCATCTTGGCCGCATGGAGAGCGGATACCAACAGTGCTTTCTCAAATTTCCACAATTTTCCTTCCTGGGTAAGTTTTGCCACCTTTTCCTGCAACTCATTCGCCTCGTTCTGCCATGAATCCATACATTGCTTGGGACCTGAAACTGCACAGGATGCATTGGACTTAGAAACTTTCTGTTGAGAAGCTTAGTCTAAGGAAGGAATTGGCATGTATTCTTCACAGTATTGCCTCACTCCTTATATCGAAGTGTTTCAAATCTGTCGCAGAAGAAAGGAACTCCACTATTGTCTGGGTTTGACGACCCCACTTGGAAGCGTGGTTGGACTTATTCTTTTCAGTCGTTAATCAGTATTAGGTTTACCTGCCTGTATCGGTTGCCAAAGAGAGGGGTTCCATACTTTGGCTTTTGGATGGTGACTTCTCAAATTTGATCCTCTGAGACTTTGAATTATGTTGTGCTTTCTTTAGGTCTTCTTCAAGGGTCTTCACCCTGTCATCTCTGAGCAGCAATTCGTCCTTGCAGTACAAGAGAACGGATTTCATTTTCTGCAAGTCCCTAGCGAGAATTTGAATTATTTCCTGTTGCGAGTCCAAATCAACTCTGGATTTCTCTAAGGCGCTCATAAGTAACATCAAATCCTCAGTGTGCTTCCGCTCGGTGTCATCAACTTCCTGCTGCTTGTACACCTGGCTCTTGGTCAAGAGCTCTACATGGTCCTCGAGGTTCAGTCCATTGTGTAGGTCGTTGCGATGTTTGTTCACCTTGAAAATAAGAGCATACCTGTGCTTCAATTCCTGAAGGTTTTCTTTCTTATGAAGCAACTTTTTCTCGAGCCTCTTCTCTACAGACGACGAATTTGTCGATCCCATGGGGTTGCTAGTCTTACCGGGCTGGTCTTCATTGCCATTGGGTAATGCTGTGAGAGGGTACGAAGTGGACCTTTTGACCCTTATTTTTCCCTGCGTTTCTTTGACTGGGTTTCTCATTGTCATTCGTTGATCATCAGTCGATTAGGTGTAAGAAGTCTTCGCTAAGTCTTGCTGTCGTCGTGAATTCAGCTCACCGAAGCAAATATTGCATCATTTTCATTTTCAAATATGGGTACCGTTGGAAGCGCTGCTTTTGAACGGAATTGCTGTACACGCTCAGACATAAAATTGATGTTCTTTACATGTGTTTTATGCAGAAGTGACTAATGCAGTTCGCAGTTCAAACTCAAGTCCCTCTTTCAGAAAGCCGCATTCTTTGAGCAACAGGAAGAAACTGGGCAGGTACTTTTCAATGCAATATATTAGTAGCATACAGTAAGAACCCATTTGTTTTTTGTCTATACAACTTTAACTGTGTATTGCAGCCCGTTTGCACCAATCCATCTGTGAAACGAGTTGCAATTCAGAAAGACACTGGCACACTCAAACCCTGTCAGAAACTTCTTGCTTATCACACCTCAACACATTATTATAATGGAAACGAATGCAGCTCTCCAGATAAGTGTCCTGCAACTAAATCTGCATCATGAATTGATTTTGAATGCGAGACACCTCACGATATTCTGCAGCCTGAGACTGTTGACGTAAGCTTCTTCATGCGGAGAGTCCGTTAGTTTCGGAGGATTCCATGCATGTGAATCTGGTGAAATTCTCCTTTTATGCGACATACCAGCTCTTGTGGTGGCAGTTGACACTAACGACCTACTATTGTGGGTGAGCTACTGACTCAAACGTAGCTCTGTTCACTTTGCAGGATCAAGTTTGTCTCCTTTTCATTGTTGAATGATCTGTTTTTAATTTTTAGTTTTTAGAGTATTTCTTGCGGATCTCCGTTGGAGGTTAGAAGAGGATTGTATCGACTTTGCAGACTTCGCCATCAAAAAACGGTCAATGTATTCAGAAAAACAGGGGATCTGCTTGAGTGGTGAGGCTTTACATATTTAATCCACAAAACGCTCCAACAAAACTCAAATGAGCAGTAATACCTCAGTACTTTGGAGTTGCCATAGTTTTAAGGAACAGTGTTTTGATTGTTAGCCTTGTCAGTCATAAATCATGTCTACGAATTCACCTAACCTACAGAATTCTCACGTTTTTGTATATATGTTTTATTTTATTTTTTTTCTCCTCTTGTAAATTGGATTGTACAATCAAATTTCCAATAATTTGAGTGGAGGTGAACCTAGTATAGAATAGTTTACACCTTGTATGTATTCTACATTAAAAACAACTTCAATTTATACCCTGTTCTCTTATTTTTATGAGCCAACTCTTTCATTTAATTCACTGAAGAACTAATTATATGAGAATAATGATGTCTTTAACTACATAAACTCATATCAAAGTTTTTACGTTCCCAAAGTTGGTTAATTTTGTTGTGTACTTGTAAAATGTTGGCTTCATTTCATTGACTGATTTACTTATTTACTCAATTATTGCTTTTGAGGGCATAGACCAGTATGACAAAGATTTTATTCTCTTAGAAAAGAAAAAAAAAAGAAAAAAAAGAAAAAAAAGAAACTTAATTGTTTATGAAACCAAAAATTAGAATTCAGACTGAATTTTAGGGCAAATGATGCACAGAAAATTTGATGCATGATATATAAATTTTCACTTTTCACATCCCTTACAAAAGCTACATTCATTTGAGCTTCAATGAAAACACATGAATTTGACATATTCATAAAAAGATGTGTTTGTTTGTGTATTTTCAATGAATTGTATGAGGTTTTGCAAGCAGTGATTTATGTTTTATAACCCTCTAGTTACAAAGATTCCCAGAATAGCTATGGCTGAGAAACTAGGGTTTTGAATTGCTTGCACTTATGAGTACATAGTGAGTTTATTTTCATGAGTGGTAGATTGATGCTCAAATCTATTGATCAGATTCTGAAAAACGCTTATGGTTTTTTTGTTTTGTTTTGTTTTGTCTTTTTCTTATGAAGAAATGAATAAAAGGATTGAAGTTTTTTACCTTGTGTAGGATTGTTACTACCATTATGTGTTGAAAAAATCACTTCTGGTGAAAAAAAACTTAATTGAAAGGAAAGAGAGCTAATTTATTCATGCAACATTCACACTTAAATATGTACGTATGCAAGCACGCATGTATATTATGTTTATAGCATAATTTTTTATAATGTAAGGCCTTCGTAAAAATTTAAGCTCAAACCAGCTAAGACATTTATAAAAAGTATTCAAATTATTGGTTTTTTATTTTAAAATTTTATTGGATTAATTGAATTAAAATGATCAATATCAATTTTACTTTTAAAATATAGTAGTATTTTTCATATATGTAAATCAAATAATTTTACAACCAAATTAAAATTAATTATACTATTTAATTGCAATGATTGATTTGATAAAGAAAAGTGCTAATAAGATTGAAAAATAAATTTTGTTTTGTTATTATGCATATTATGCATATAATCTTTAGTTATATATTCATATTTATTTTTTCCAAACTTAGTGAAATCTTGTTAAAAAAATTACAAGAATGTTGTACATATAAGTAGATTCTTATATATATAGTGTATTTGAAAATAAGTTCTTGATGTTTATTAATCAACAATACTTATTTACTTAGGATTTTAAGATATGTAGTGATAAACGAGAAGAAATTAAGCATGCATATCAATTTGATCTACAAACCAAGACATAACGAAGTAATTTTTAGAACATTAAAACATTCAAAATCCAAATATTTTTATGTGATGAACAGAACCAAAATATTATCCAAAATTTAAATTATTCTTGTGACTTACCTTATAGATACATATCCATGTTTGTGGTGACTAAGAACATAAAAATTTGATTTGCATCTACTTTGACCTTGTGTAGCAACACCTACAGTACTACATGTTGTGCTGCATGGTACAGACTACATTCACAAAGCAAGCATTCCAATTAAATTTGACGTAAAAGATAAACCAAACGTGAAATGCATTTAACCAATTTGAAACCCTCAACCAGTCAATTATTTAAGATTATCTGACGCCTCTGATTAGAGATGTGGGGTGAACTAGGGAGCACTCCATGCTAAGCAACCACAACCAGCTTGTGCAGGGCATTCCATATAATCAAGTAGGAACAGGTTTTATTCCGTGCACTACCACCTGTACTGGGTTCAAGTAAACATAGCAAAGCCGATTTGCCTAGATTGTGATTATGGTACATGTCAAAAGGTCTTCAGGAGTAAGAAGTCATTCTCTAACCTCAATTCTTCTCTAAGTAAGCTAATATATAATACCGCTTATCATCTCGATGGCAGACTAACGATGTCGAATATTAAATAAGCTGAACACCGAGGCACATATACGTCTATCAAGGTTGCAACGCTACCATGTGAACCTGATTACAAATCAAGCCTTCGTCAATGGTGTGCTTTGTTGGCCATTTGGAGCCGTTTCCGTTGGAAGTAGGATATTGCCAATGCCGTCGCCACCCGAAAGAAAACACAGTACAGGAAAAGAACTAGCATATCAATCGGGACGCGACTGTGGTCCAGGGTTCGGTTGACCTTGAGAGTGGTCCAGAGGAAGGCATTGCGAGCGTCGTCTAAGCGCTTGCAGTCGCATTGTGGACAGGCAGTTGGGTCATTCAGGCATGCCAAGTTGCGACCTGAATCCAAGCAGGCTGGTTTGTTGGTGTCACAGAAAAAAGCGATGCTGGTGAGGGCATTGAGCGCCCACTGGAGCGGGTTTGTCCAGAATATCCAGATAACAGTCTTTAGGATCATCATTTTTGGAACCACAGAGCCTGCCGTTGCAGTCCAAAAACCAATGACTATGGGAACGAGAGTGGCAGCGACCTGCACATGCACGAAAGCTAATTAACTGATAATTAAATGAGTGGCATTTTTTTCATGTACGTTTAGAGTACTTGAGCAAACCTAGTTCTTTAAAATATGAGTGATCGTAGATGACATTTTTTTTGTGGTCACATACATCTAACAGATTCGACAACGAACATGAAATCAACTCCATCATGCAAAATGGAATCACTATACATGCTAACAAAAATTTGATCACCCCTAGTACCAGCTCCTGATGCCCAATTATTATGGAACAAGTTAGTGTACAATAAAGGCTGTGAATAGACGCAAAGTGAGAAAGATGAAGATTCATTCACATAAAAACATTGAGATATAAAAACATACCTGCGGTATTGGACTAATAACACATATAAATATCCCCAAGAACGTGATGGCCAGGCAGAATTCAAAGAGCACGAAGTAAAATCGAAAGAAGTGAGCGGCTGAATCTACTGCGATTTGAGCCATGAGGCAAAATACGAAACAGACAATCATAGTTGACACTGCCAAATATGGTACCTGCCAATCATGCACAAAGATCATCATCAAGAAGCGTCAATAAAACTATACGCTTCACTATAAATTGAATTCAGATAGACTCTGAATTTGCTTAGTCAGGATTAGTAAGAGACAAGCAGCACGAAAGAGACCGTAGAGGATAATTAGACGCACAACAGTGCAACAGACACAAGCTGCCCAGTTTCATGAAATGCACATTACCTCCCCCAAAGTCCATCCCGCATTATACATTAGAACATTGAACTGATTTGTCAACTGTTCTCTTTCCACCGTGACTGTCATCCTCAATATCTGAGGTATGACGTTCTGTGCATTGCTGATGCCCAACAATATACACAAAATAAAGAGACTTTGACTCTTCACGTTCATGTTGACTGTTGTATGAGGATTGATGTTAAAATAAATTGTACCCAAAATAAGGGCCAATGCCAGAGCGCCCGTCATTCTCCCAAAGTTATAGCTCGTGTTGCGCCAGTACATTCGCTGTATCTTCAGCATGATTTCCCAGGCCATCACCAAATAAGGGGCACGATAACCAGATTCCAGCAATTCAGGCCCGTTGTCACCTTTGGATCGGCGAAGGATTTGCAGCTGAATATGATTACGAAGGGCTAATTCACTTACTCGATATTCGAAAGCATAATCCCTTGGAGTCTTGTGATCGGCAGCTCGATCACCGATTACATCAATGGCATAAGTAATAGGGCTCTTATTTAGTGAGCATCGTGGAGTGCCTGGAATGGCCTCAAAGTATTTCTGCAAAAATTCAGGCAAAGGTTAGAAGTATAGACTCATAAAACATAATCACCGAGTTCGGCATAGCATTTTCAGCGAAGGGGCAGATAACTTACAAGAAGCGACTCTCCATTTGCTCCGGGTGAGCCAAAATATACAGTTTCGCCACCTCTTTTCAAAAGTTGGATGCTGTTGAAGACTGATAACTGCCACGGATTCAGCAGTTGTATGCTTACAATCACTAGCCTTCCAGTGTCCGCAATTGTCTGCAAGCATTTACCCAGATACTTCATAAAATACACGACACTTTTATTTATGAATCCAACAGAGTTAAATTTACCGTGCACAACTACAAGTTATTTGAAATTCAGAAACAAGTACACCATATGGCGTAACAAACAGCTTAGGTTTGTGCCTGTTGAATTGAATACCCTTGCAAAGTTCGGAATCTGAAGAAACTGATCCATTTGTGACCGATATAAAATGAACATTGTACCAATTATTAAAAACGAAAATTCTGCAGTTTCCAAAACAATGCTTGAAACGATTCTATTTCAAAGTAACCCTACGTCGAGATGCGAATGAAGAAAAACAGAGAGGGGAACCTTGAGGCACTCAATAATATGACGTGAAGCATGGCTGTCAAGTCCACTTGTAGGTCCATCTAGAAATAGAACACTTGGATTTCCAGCGAGTTCAATAGCAATTGCGAGTCTCACAGCCTGCTCTTTGGAAACCTCCTCGTTGCCCGCTAACGTAAGTATCATGTTCGAAATGTGGTCGATCTTCATTAGTTTCATCACCTGCATCCAGAACCTCCATACATCAAGCTACTTTCCTATTACAGACAAAAGGCACTGGTTATCAAACTTTCCTGGACCACAATACCCTGACCAGTTCATAAAACGACGATTCCATAAAACTGTAGATTACCGAATAGTGGAAAACACGCGGTAAAGAAACTTTTGAAGATAAGCCTGTGCCAATGGATGTCTTACAATTCGAAATCGGATGATGAGCGCAAGTCTGTTGCGAATTTCAGATAACTAAGGGCATTGACAACTACGAAACAACCTCGCACCTGCTACGTTAAAAAGAAAAAAAAAAAAAAAAAAAAAAAAAAAAGAAGCAGAAGAAGAAGAAGAAGAAAAAGAAAAAGAACAAGAAGCTTGCGCTTCACAACTTTTTGGATACTTACATCTTGAAAGTATCAAAATATATGGAATATTCTCCATGTGTTCCCCAGGAAAAACACTTAGTGTAAAATCATTTTCTGTGGGTATCAATCGGGTATGATGCCTACCTCGTCGGTTAACAATTTCCGTTCTTTAGCTTGTACTTTTTTGCTCAGTCGCATGGCGGCACTGAACTCTATTCCTTCTCGGACAGTCATATATGGAGCATATGCCATGATATCTTCTACATAACCCTCCACATGCGCAAAAGTCTTCCGAACTCTTGTATACCCATTCACCAAAATTTGACCTCCAAGGCGTGCAGGAGATATCTTTCGGCCTGAACCACATCCAATTTATCACATCCAACCTGGAAACAAAAAAAGGACGAATTGTGCACGAACACATAGCAATCAACATGTCTTATACGATCTTATACATGTATCAACTTAAATTAAAGCTTCTGGTAACTACAAATTCCAAAACCCAAATGCTCAGTGCTTTAACATACAATATAATACAAAAGGTTCTAGAGCTGTTTTGATCGTGGGCCCTTAGATATTTTCGACGTACCTGCCAGGCAATTTAATAACGTTGTTTTACCAGCACCAGATCCTCCTGCTAGTGCAACCATCTCTCCAGGCTTTCCCCAACCGGAAACGTAGTTGAGGACGGTTTGAGTTCGACCAATGGCAGGAATCATGATTTCATAACTTAACTCGTGCCAGGATAATGTGATGGGAATAGACTCAAGACAAAGCTTAGACTCTCCTTGTCCCCACTCCTCGTCTCTAGTTTTGACTTGATGTTGTTCCCTCCAAGAGAGTCTCTTCTAAACAATCACAAATGTTCAATGAAATGTCGATAAGCTACTTAGTCAATAAGTCCATCATTCGAGTCAATAAAAACATTTGAGAAGAGAAAGGAACCAAGATGTCCTTCGAGAAGAACCATGTTTGAACAGAATTTACATATGGTCTATAAGCAGACTTAAAAAACAGAATCAAAGAGTTTAGGGTCCACCTCCATGTATGGTGAAAGGGCTTGCGAAAGATGCCGCTTTTTAGCCATGGCGAAATAAGCTCCGATATTCCATAGCACAATCCACCCTAGTAGTACAGCAACAGCAACAGCTATCCAACTATTGCTTGTGTAGAATTGTCCCCGAGCTAAATAGGCATGACCTACTGTATCTGTTGGTCTACCAATGCATTGGGGAATATTTGCAAGATTCGGTACTTCATTACACAACAAGCTATAACTTTTTGAGTTATATTCATTGAGGACTAAGGCCAAGGTGGCCCATTGTAGCGGGTCGATGTAGTATGCCCAGAGCCAGTATTTAGGAACTAAGAAACGAGGAACCAAGAATCCAGCAAAAACAATGAATAATGCTACGAGGATACCTGAAACATCATGAATGATAGTGTTAGTTTAGAATAGCAAGATTCGATCCATAGCACTCATATTAGAAAGTTATCAAGAGACAAGGTCCTAGCTACCATGTGAAACCAGCTGCTTTGAAGTGTCAGCAAACCTGAAATATCTGATATGTTACACCATAACCATGAAAAACTTCAAGAGAAATACATACTTTAAAGCCGTACATACCAATAATGGCGTTTGCAGCATCACGATCAGGAGCAAAATATGCCATAAAACGAACCAAGGAAGCTCCGTTGATAGCAGTCAAACTTAAAATCACATAGTACACCCAAAAGTGCCAACCTCCGTCTTTGACAGACAGATCAGTCATGAAGTATACTACGAGTGTCCACAAGGTTGCCTGAAATAAAACAAAGTTTACGATTGAAGTCTTTGCAAGGTGATGGTTGATGACAAACTGAGAACTTACTAGAACTGAGAATTGTTACCATAATACTGAGATAACTCTAACCCATCCATCAACTTACATAGAGAAAATATTGCTAACAGCACAATGTGATTATCATGCCTCAAAAAAGTGCCCGAGTAATGACACAGTTGAGAGCATGCGAAAAAAGGGTATGAAAAATATTGGCCTTGCAAAAATTGTTTTCATGTCACATCTACATATACATATATTTGCAACAATCCTATCAAGACTTGGAACAATCAAAGAAATTTGAAGAAACAGGGTCAAAAGGAATGAGAAAATGAAAATTTTCAAGAGCTTAAACCTCTAGCATAGAAATAGGCAGAGCCCCAAGTATTTTTGAAAAAAGGAAAGACTGGGGGCGAAAGAAACGCGCTCCTTGTTGTTTGTAGTAAATTGCCCGCTCTTCCATCAGTGCTGGAAGCTGTCCTAAGTTAATGAGAGTGATATTCAATAAGGAGATGAAAAAAACACTTCTCTTCAAATTCATCACGAGTTGGTTAGGATCATCTTGTACTCGGAAAAAAACGACTCCAGTGTATATACTCATGATCAGAACCTGCCACCACATAAAATCACGTCTGCGCAAGTTAACGTTGTTCTGGTGAAACAAGAGAAACTTATGAAATAGAAGGGCACTATCACACACTATCCTGGTATTTTTTGTTCTCCTGGACTTCTTTTTGTCACCAAGTAATGTGTATGAGCAACTACACATCAAGCTACAACGGCACAACTCTCATTCTAGTTATGAAAAGGAAAAGTTTCAGAATAAACCAGACTAAATAATTAGATAAATAAAATCACTGGACACCGAGCTATGCAAGAACATGACGTAATATTCAGAAAAATTCAAAGTGTCTCCCTTTACCGTACAAATCACCACACACTTTTTGTGCTTCAAGCGCTTATCCATTTTCTTTACAATTTTTCAAATTTCAATTCTAGCTACTCACACTTTAAGTAGTTTCGGATGCGATTATCGAAAAGAGAGGAACCTCCTGAACATGATATGAAGACAACAGTACCTGTCCCACCCGTAGTCGAAGCCCGATTCTGTTACGCATTAATACTTTCATCTCCCTTTTAAGAAGAAGATTGACTTCTGGTACAAAATTTAAGAGGTACTCATTCTGAAATTGATAGGGACAATTCTTTGCCTCCTACAATATCCAAACAACGTTGCATTACGTAATAGCGTAAGTTGTGTAAGAAAAAGTCACTTAACAACAGACATCTAGCAGCTGGGATGCCTATACAGGATAACCCTTACATGAGGCTCATTACAGAGTGAGAATTTTCAATGAACCTGAAAACGAATGTGTAGCTTAGCTAGGTTTACACCGAATAAACCAAAGTGACATATAACCGTACAGGTTTGTGTCCTCGAGAAGAATTCAATAAGGGAAATAGCATGAAGAAAGTTTTTGAACAAAATTAAAAATAAAAAGAACATGAAATAAATTTTAAAAAGAAAAATTACGAAGAAAATGTAGTACCTTCGCAAGATCCAAAGGTCTCTCGAGCTGCAACCGAACTGGCTCTGCAACCTCATCAATAGCCTCAGCGAGACCCCCTTCTAAAGAGCTGTTAGCTCTACGATCGTTAGACTTGAAGTACTTGAGCAATCCCCCCGCGCCCCCAACGGCAACAACTTCATCTCCAGGAGCCACACTGGACGTGTGATCCATTGTAATCTCTGCAAGACTTCCCCCTTTCTCAATTACTCCTGCCACCAGAGTAGAGATGGCTGTCGTTGAGCCACTGGTATTGTTTGACCGCCTTTCAGTAAATCCAAGTCCCAAAGGCTTGTGACCCTACACGTTCATGTTATGTTGTAGATCAAACATTAATGACGAGTTCCAACAAAATTGAAATTCCCAACCATATCTACTTACTGGTAAAAACCCTTCTTCTCTTCTGAAATCCAATTAAATAATCAGAAAAGAACATAAAACTCATGGCTTGGTGTAGAAAAATTAATTTGAATCCTAGCAAAAAATTTACTCTCTGAGAAAGTCAATGCAAGTCCTCACTAATCGCTGGTCTAACTAGCATATTGAAGGTTGTTCACTTGGCTCTACTGTATACAGTTTTTGTATCTTACAGATTTCTGAACTGACCACAGAACAATGACGTCACGTATGATACTAAAAATTTGGGCCTGTCAGAAGCTGAGAGAACTACGGAGACGACATAACACGTGAACAAGATGAAGAGAAAACATAAGAAATTGTGATTATCTGATACCTGTACCCAATGCTCCTGAACCGAATCACCACTGTGAACAACTCGTCGAATGTCCCTGAATGTTGGAGATAAGAGGAAGCTGGCCACAAAGTCTTCACGGTTCAAGCGTGTAAATCCAGGCTGTAGATAACGAACACCCTCTGGAGTAGTGACATCCGATAAAAATTCGCTCGTACTAAGATGCTTAGGCTTGAGATACCTAACGCATGAGAGCGATATCTTGATTAGATTATAAGAAGGCACACCAACGAATAATGTAACATAAGCTAAACGACCAGGCTCGAATGTAAGCTGTACATGTTCGAATGTCAGCTTACCCAAGACTCTCAAAGTAAGGTAGAGCGTCCTGACGCGGTCCTTGGAACATGACTTGACCGCCATCCAGAAGAATAATTCGATCGAAAAGGTCAAAAATCTCCTGGGATGGTTGTAGAGTAGACGCTAATACAGAACATTGACGTACTCTTGTAAAGATGCGAACACTTGAAACCAAGTCGAAGGTCATACCTTCCGAAACTATTCAAAATGAAGCCAACAGTAGAAACGAATCAGAATCATCAGCAAATTTCACCAGTGCACTAAAAAAGTAAAAGCGCGCGAAGGAAAAAAAATTCCATTAACATGATAAGCTGAAGTTAGTTAGGAAGCTCTGTTCAGATACAACCTCCACCAGCGTTCAACTGATCAAAAACATAGACAGGATAAATCCCAGCAATCATCTCAGCAGTTGTCAGATGATGTTGTTCTGACGCCGTCAGAGAGGGCATCATTGGACTTCCAACAGGTCGATCAGCAACTCGTTTTAAACTTAAGATGCTTAAATTCATCTCCAGCTTAGGGTCTTGTCCGTGCTTGAGAGCTTCACCCATAATCACTTTGAGTTCCTCACTGTAATGTTTAGTCTTGAAGGAGGCAGTGCAATCCCGTGCAAACTCAAGGGTCTCTCGAACAGTAAGAGAAGGTAGGTGAACATCCACCGAAGGAACAACAGCAGCAAGGCGGCGACATTGTGTATTATGAACATCAATCCCATTGTAGGTTACTGTGCCTTTAAGCGAGCCACCTGGATTCGTTGAGCGACCTCCAATAATATTAAGGAAGGTGCGCTTTCCTGACCCTGGAGGCCCTGATCCATATCGCGCACACACATCAACGTGAAACTTGAATGAGATTTACAAAGATCTTGAGCCAATTTCGAGAGGTCGGCACATTTTACAGGTCATCTGAAGAGAGCGAAACTGGATGAGGTTTAGGGTTTTGATGAACCAGATTCCTTCTAGCAGGCACAGAGTCTCATTTTCCTACTTCAAGCAAGCGTGGAAGTTTCTGAGAATAGTGGCAATCGTGACTTGACAGAGGCTCCGCCATTTCAAGAAGGCGGTGCACACTCAAGCTTCACATACTGCACCTACCAACTGCAACACCCGCTATTCGAACATGACAGCAGTACTTTCTTCGTGTAGACCATAGTAACATCATCATTATCAAGAGCTCATAAATTAAAAGGTGATGCTAGGGAAAGAGCCAGGAAGTTGCACACATACCTACGACAAGTGTAAGGGTACCGGGCATAAGATATCCAGTCACATCCTTAAGCAACGTCATATTCTCTACAGGAAGTCTAGTAAAGGGACCTCCAAGCAAGCTTTTGATCTGAAAATATAAATAAACAAAAGTTAACGCAATAAATGAATGAATTTGAAATTGCTCGAGGAACAAATTTAAAAAGGACAGAGACTTTGGCCATGTTAAGTTACACAGGAAACTGTAGGATGGGCTACCTTGGTAAACATCGTTTCATAGCCCTTCTCAATCTTAACTTTCTCCGAGTACGTCAAGCCTTGAAACTTCACAACCTACACAGAAAAAGGATAGACCCAGGGTTACAGTTGCCAGTAGAAGTCATTAAAAATAGAGCAGCCTTCTCGCCTGCAACTCAAAAAGGACAGCAAAGAGTTAGGTAGCAACCTGACGAGGTAGTGGAGGTAAATGTGGATGAATCGATAAAAGATACTTCAATAATCCTTCTTTTAACAACAAGTCTATGCCCTTTAATTCCAGCTCTCTCTCTGTGGATTCCTCTTGATTTTGAAGGCCAGCGAGCACACTTGAGATGCTCAGAGCCTCTTCCACAAGTCCATGTCTCACCAGGGTCTGATGATATAAGCTCACTAAATGTATAAGAGATGCCTGAGGAGCATCTGCCAAATTCGCATAGAAATCTCGGGACAGATTCTGAGAATTTCCTTCTCCATCACTCGCGCGGGATTCATGCTGCAGACCAGCTCCAAGGAAATTGCTCCCAGGTGGAGTTTCAAACCCAGGAGTTGCTAGACCTAATCTCTCATGACCTCCATACGTGCCATCATCAGATGGCTCTGAAAATTGAAAACGATCTCCATCACGTTCATCGCCTTTCATACCAAACAAAAAATGCATTGTATTCAAATTGATGAAACACTTCAGATGCAATATTGCGGATCACCACAGGCAAAACAAAAAAACAAAAAAAACAAAAAAACAAAAAAAACAAAAAACAAAAACAAAGGAAAAAGAAAAAAGCGGATGCCGCACGATCGACTTTCCTTACATTCAAACTTAGTGCAATTTAACCCATTCCAGCGTTACCAAGTTCTTTTTTCAAGAACTTGAACACTACTTACTACCTAATTAACCTTTGACGTAATTAATTGGAGACATACAGCCCCAGAAATGCTGAATATATGAATAACGGAGTAACTGTGAAAATTATTGTGAGGATTGTGAGTGAGACATAGGTAGATTAGAATTCTTTGAACTTCACTGAAAGTATATGGATGTTGAAATTCTACCTGTGCTGTACCGGACTGCTCCTTGGGTTGATTCTTCAGTTTCTCCGTAACTGTCATGAGAAGGTCTGGCTGACTGCTGTCTTTCGAATCTGAGGGAAGGTGTTTGACCAAGTCCTCGGTAACTAGCTCTCGCTGATGCAATGCTTGAAGATCTCTTCAGGGTTAATAGACTCCTGGCACGATCTTGCCATTCACCCAAGCCCTCCTCCAGCAGGTCCCGAGGATCGAATGACACGCCACCAATGTCAATACCTTGATAATCTGTCATCCTTGTGGATGCCAATGGTTGAATTCGAGCTGAACTGTGAGATTTTTGCCTCCGGATAGTAGGACCTGAATTATCATAAACGGTTGATTGCCCTCTTTCACCGTTTGAAGGTGCTCTACCAAGATTGGCACTAGTCCTTGTCTGCTTCACATCCACAGCACTTACAGAGTCCAAGCTTGGTCGCGAGACTCGTGAATCAACATCACCTGTACCTTTTGGCGTGCTATCAGAGCTTTCAAGATCAGCCATGCTGTTTGTTCGTGCCTCCACTTTCAATGAGTCAGACTTGTAGTAATCTTACATCAAGAATTAATATGTAGTTAAGTCAATGCAGCGTGACGACGTATCCTAAGGACGACCTTAGCCAAATGATATGCAAAGTCATCGAAGTAAAAGGTGGAGAGGCTGAAAAGCGTAAATGAGAGAGAAGGGACTAATTAGAAAAATTGATTTGCACTAACATTACTCGCAAAATGTTTTCACAAATTGAATCCTTCAAATAATTACAAGAACGAACTCATAACTGCCCACCTCATAAGGTCCACATATTGAGGTGTATGCTTCCCCTCACATGCAAGTGCTAATTTTTGGTTTGAGAAACATACCTGTGAAATTGGAGTCCTCGTCTCGGCACGCACAAGTATTGAAACTAATCTAAAGTGGTATCACATAAATTTGATTGAACTCATCTTGTTTGCTTTTGAAACATTATCAGCACTGTCCCCCAATGATGGATAGCAGATTATTTAAAAAGTCAATCTCCAATACATGGACAGCTTTCGTCAAATCCTAAGATTGGAATCCTGAGAGAAAATAGAGTTAGGAATTGAAAACCAAAAAACAAAAGTCCTATCTTAGAACTTAGCTAACCCTTAACCACGCGTACCAACTTATCAGTAAACGAATCGAGCCACAAGCTTTAAAAAAAACAATTATGACAATTTTATCTATGTTATTCTGCCTCAAATAAGGTCTTGACGACCAATCCAGCAATACGAAGGGGCTGTGGCTGCACTATGATCCACTCCTTAGCAGAAAGTAGGCGCGATGAGAGCGTAAGCCTCATTCAAAGACGTAACATGGAATTTCGTAGTTCACTGCGCTCATGGTCTCTTCAACCACAAAACAATAAGAGCACAACTTCATTCTAGCGGCGCTCTCGGTTATCAATTAACAATACGAGACCATAGCACCACACTTCATTCCGGTGCACTCCATCACAAATCCGAACTTCCGAGAGCCGCGAATTAGAAACTGAAGAAGCTCGCTAATGCGATATAGCTTTTTAATTAAAAAAAATCAACCAAAAAAAAAAAAAAAAAAAAAAAAAAGCCCCTAAGCTCAATCTCTCACACACCCGACCTGTCTGCAACAGAATGCGGCAATGACCCTGACACTACCGCCCTGCTAGTCGTGAAACATGCTCCTCGCAAGTTCACTGTACAATCATTTCACATCCACCGCTGCGAATAGTTCATCAACCTCCCTGCATTCACCTTTGGACCTCCCCGCATCACGCATTTATACAGCTTTCTCTGTAGCCTCTCCGTGACGATCCGCGTGCAGCAACAAAAAGCATCAAAAGCAAGCCACTGTGGATCCATGATTTGCCGAAACTCGCGACAACCTGGCGGGCGTGACAAAACGCACAGCGAAAGGATACCACCGAAGTAACGCGATCTCTGCGCTTCCGTCAGAGATGTTCTCATCCAATGGCTGGCACGAGCGCAGGCGTGAGGACGGGAGCCAGCGACATCGAGGCCAACGGCCTCCCTCGTAGAATCGTGTCGCATAAACCTCCTTTTTCAATCGACTGGCTCCGGCATCGTGGGCCGTCGGATCACAGCTGCCGCTCACATGCAATGTCCACCGCCGATCAGATTCTGGGAACTGAGGGAGGGAACGTAGGGGAACCAGGGGGCGGGCAGTTTGGAAGGTGGTGGGCTGGGAACTCAGAACCCATATACAAATGTCTTATAATGCTGCAAAACAAGTTTGTAACTTAGATCTTTTTCCAACTTCCAATGCATAATACGAATTTGATCTTACATTTAGCAAGAATTTCATTGAAAATATTTTTTCTAATATTAATATTATCTCTAATATTGCAATATTAGAACTTATATTTCTAAAAAAATTGAAAAGTCATAAGATTAAACAAAATTTTACAAGATTAAATAATTAGTAAACTGGTTAATTATCTAACATATCATCTTAATTTTATATAGTTTTATTTATTCTTAGAACGAAATTTTATTATGTGTAAGGTATATCTTGCTTTAAAATATGCCTTTTATATACTTATATGAGATTGATTTAATAATATAATTATTTGTGGTAAAAAAAGTACAATAGGATTTGATTGAGTTACTTTAGATATATAATTATTAGTTATATATATGTATTTATATATATATATATATATATATATATATATCCATAACTCAAAACTAAGGTTTTTTTATGCATTACTAAAGTTTGAAGACTATTATTTTAAGGTTGAATTATTTTTTGTCATAAAACTAAAACCCCAATATTTTATTTCAATAAAATATGTTACAACGTTTAAATTTTTTTCTAAATTTTTGTGTTTAAGTTTTTTTTCCCTTTTTTGGGTAATTATGTTGTGTGTTGATGCAATATAATTTTTTAAAAAACGTTTTAAAAAAACATTTAAATTTTATTTTATGCAATATATATTTTACAATGTATTTTATAAAAAATTCTAATACTACCCAACAAATTTATGAGTTGCAAGAATTCTTCCTGGAAACAAAAGTATCATGTCCATTGAGTACTGTTGTGTATGACAACAAAATTAAATTGTTTGAAGCAAGATTGATGGTTGAAAAGTGGAATTGAGAAGCAGCCCATGAACAAATTTCAGCACTCATGATGTCAATGTGGATCAGTTTGGGGGCCCAATGAGGAATGGCTTCTGAGTTCCCAACCTCCCGCCCTCCAAACTGGTGCCGCCCCCCTGGTTCCCGTACGTTCCCTCCCTCCGTTCCCAGAATTCTAATCGGCGGTGGAAATTGCATCTGAGCGGCAGCTGCGATCTGACGGCCCACGATGGCGGAGCCAGTCGATTGAATAAGGAGGTTTCTGCGACACTTAGTGACGAGGAACGGCCTCGGACAGGACCGACACCCCCCCCCCCTCCCCCTTTTGGACTTGCTATTCAAATACTTCTTTGCTTCTATCGGAGACGCCGTTCGCACGGGTCCTGGTCTATCCCGTGTGAAACGGTCCCCCCCTCCTTCATTCAGCCTCTGGAGCCGTCAGAGCTTCAGGGTCTAAGCTGGGTCCTTCATCCCCCCTGGGACCACCTCTCCCGTTGCATGACTTGGTTCCTCCTTTTCTATTACTGAGTTCGTGCACGAGAAAACCAAATATCACCACTCTTGAAATTGTTTATTAATTGTAATAGTGTGCGTGAAAGAGGGAGGAATAAGAATACCTGACTTTTAAAAACCCAAGCCCCAACGTATTCTTTTTTGTTTGGCATCTTTGAGAAATTGATGTGGCATTTTCTCCTTCAGTGGAATTGCTATTTTTTTTCTATGCAATGAAGTGGATGAGGTATCGCAATTGGTCTTTACTGGAATCACCGTCGGTCTAGAAATGTGAAAAGGTCAACTCTCTACAAACTCAGTCATATCGATGTTTGTGTTTTGGATCAGAAAGTTCACAGAATAAAATAGAATAACCTAGAGCCCAATGCTTGAGTGGACAGTTTTATACTTTGTTTTAGGTACTTCTGTAGAAAAATCTCATGAAGAAAATATATTCCAATCTGTATAGCTGTGTACATAACTTGTACTTTTTGTAATTTATTTAACCAATAGATACATTTATTATTTCAACTTACACAACTATCTTCTAATGTTTAAGCATCCATGCCTATAGATATATATATATATATATACACACATATATATACACACACACAAAAGTGGAAACCTGTGCTGTTGCCCACAGAAAAGGTGGCCAAAAGGCAAATAATTGTTGATTTATTTATAAGTTAGGAGCTTCTCAGATCCACTTCTAGAGATCTCTCGGTGCTACTCTTGCCAATCTGCAATAATATCATGCATATTTTGATTTCTAATTGATCAAAAGCTAAGTTAATATTTCACTTTTTGCTTCATTTTTAATAAAAACAATAAGATATACTGTCAATCAAAGATGTTTTTTTTGTCTCTTCTAGTTTATTTTGTTGATTTGTTTTTCTTAAGTTCTTTTTTATAAGAAATCTACATATACAAGTAAGTGTCTATATTTTTGTTATTTTTTTTAATATTTTTATTGCCATATTTAGTTTGTTATAAGATGTTTGCAATTTTATTATTTTTTATACTTAATATTTAAATTTTAAGATAAATATAATAATTATAATCCACCATAATATTAATATTAAGTATTTATATCAAAGACATAAATATTAATATTAGTATTTATTTAGATAATTTTTTTATAAATAAAAATGAATAAATTTGATAACATTTTGTGAATTTTTTTTCAAAATTTTTTTAAATGCAGATTTGACTTTGAATTGTTTGTAGGTAATTAATAGGTTAATAACTTAGCCAATAAGTTTGCCACATATTGCAAATATTAATAATTTTTTTTTTCAAGTTAGCCACATATTGCACATGTTGACTATTCATCATATAAGTTTGCCATATGCCACACATGTTAGAAACTTACTTTCTAAATTAGATTGTATTTTGCAAATTTGACACATATTAAATAATACATATCTATAGAATATTGTAATATAATTTTTTTATTTAGAAATTATATATAGAAGCAATAATAAAGTCTTCTTCACTCTTATTAATTTTTTTACTTTTAATCTAATATCATGGACATATGTATTTACTCCAATAATTACTTATATTATTAAGTAGAAGTAGATTAATTTCATAATATCTTCCAAAGAAGCTTCCTAAAAACTTCATAGATGCAGTTTTGACTTTACATGTATATGTAGTTGATTGATCGCTTAGAAACTTACTCAACAAATAAGCCACATAATATACTTGTTAATAACTTATGGAACAAATTAACTATGTGGCACACATATAGATAACTTACTTTACAAGTTAAATCATGTATCTAGTAAAGTCAAGACATGTTAGAGGCCCTATAGAATATTGACATGTAGCTCATAGTTAGAGAGTATAAGTAAAAACAAGAGTGAAGCCTTTTTCATTCTTATCAATGCTTTTTTAATCCTTAGTCTTGTTTCATGACTTTTTAGTCTTCTTATCTTTAATGATAGCTATTTTAGTTTAAAATATTATCATCTTTGAGTGATTTTTTTATTTTTTTGGAGTGACACAAGAATATATTGAGATTTTCTTTTTTTGAGATTCTTAAACTTGATAGTTTGATAACAGTATTAATTCATTTTTCTTCTCTTATTTTAGAAATAAGTGTATTATTTCATTTCTATTCTTGTATTTTAAAGATTAAAGATTACCAACCTTTAAGAAAACTATTTAATTTTCTAATATTGATTTTTTCTTTAAAGAGAGTGGATTATCCTTCTTTGTAGAAATTTTCATTTGATGTTAGAAATTGAGGATTATCTTCCTCTAATTAGACTTGCAGATTTTTTTAAAATTATTTAAAATGGAATAAAAAATCATAGATGCTATACTTGGGAGAAGTGATAATAGATTTGCAACTATTGCATATCTTAACAAATTTATCATTATTCTTAGGATAAAATTTTTATACATCACCAATGTCAAGCACAAAAACACTAATCTTATGTCTATGGAAGAAGTTCAAAGTCTATATCAAGAAGTTGTATAGTTAAAGGAAACAAGTAAATTGATATTACAATCAAATATAAGAAGTTTTGTTTTTATAAGTACAATAAGAATAAGAATTAGTATACTTAAGAAGTTTGATAGAACAAGTTCAAAATTTTGAAGATTTTTATAATAAGTCAGGTTCTATCTAAGATTGCATCTCTTCCCATACTCTGATGGATTTATTAAAATTGGACTTATACGTGCATTTTTATTTGGAAGTACTCTCTCTTAGTTTACATCTTTAATAGAAAAATATTTAAAATTCTTTTATGATTTGAATTCATGCTCAGAAGTGTTTACATGTTAATGACAAGAATTATATGAAAGTAAATAAATAAGTGAAACTTTCTCAAAGAAATATGAAAAAATAGAAATAAATAAGTATGTATATTAAAAAAAAACTAGAATAACTATTATCCAAAGATAAAAAAATTATAGACTCTTGAAACTAGACTAGAAGCAAGAAAAGAGTTGAAAAGAGTGAAGAAGACTTCACTCTTACCTTTATATATATTATCTATCTAAGAGCTATGTGGTGACTTTCTATAAGACCTTTAAAACATATTGACTTTGCATAACATATATGTTGACTTGTAAAACAAGTTTTTTATATGGGTATTACATAGTTAACTTGTTTTGCAAGCTATCAATACATATGAAACGTAGTTGACTTATTGACCATGTTTTTAACCATCAATCAATTACAAATACATATAAAGTCACAGTAGTATCTATGAAATTTCTAGGAAGCTTTCTTAAAAGATATTATAAAATTAATTTATTTTTATCTAATTATAT